AACTGATGAGTCGCTGTTATGATAAAATCATGAAAACAATCTGCGTTTCATTTTTTAGGAATGTTCTCTTCTACTTGTCATAACATAAGAATAAAAAAGCGAGTATCATCCTTAAGGAGGAAGTTTCAAATTCAACTTTAGGAAAGACATTAGTCACAAAATCCACCATTGAATATTAGCCCAAAAATGAGCTGCCAGAAAACAAGAATCAAGCTGACTGCGTTCTGGCCTATCGGTAATGTGTGTAAGGTAATCTTTATTGAGTTACTGTGAAATGTTTGAATAGCCACCGAAAGCGTAGGTGTATCCCTTATTGAAGTTTTTAATCCAAAATAAATTTCTAAGTAGCAAAATCGCTAACCTGTTCGCTGTGCCATCAGCAAGCTCTGTTCCAGTGGAAACGAAGCAGCAGCGCAGCTTAGCCAAAACGGCAGTTGGTCCGTTCCGGCCATAGCATTCAATGCTGCACTAGGCATCGTAACATGTTGCTCAACAGATTTCTTTACATCGTCCTTCTGTACAGACGGTGGTGGGAGTACACTAGCGAGAATATCGTGACGAGATCGTAGCAGATCCTCTATGGAGAAGCGAGCCGGCTGCGAATCGGCCATCATCATATTTGCACCACTAATCGCCACATGACAGTAATGAAAAAGAGGCGTGCCGCCATACGCTGATTGGTGGTTGTGCGTGAAGGGGCGGAGCCAATTGAACGAGTCGAATGTTCGCAAGTGGATTATGCAAAGCAATTGCTATAAAGGACATTTTCGACGGGTTTAGGGTATTGGCACGGGGTTAGTCGCTAGCGTAGGGATAGTAGTGTGGAATGAAATGCAAATTTTAGGATTCATAACGATTTTAAACTCTCTATTTAGAGTAAAGTAAGAATTACGTTAATGGGATAAACTTGGGTTTTTTACGCGACGCAGTCGAAGAAAAGAACAACTTAGAATAGTATAATGCTCTTTATCTTAAAGCTAAGGCATCAGTTATTGCTATGAAAACGTGACGTCTAGTCATAAAAACATCTTTTTATGTCCTGGGCTTTGCACGCCTATGTAGTCTTATTCATAACTCTCATGATTTCTAACATGGAACATTCTCCCATTTTCGCTCTATAGCTGAGGAAAGTGTTCTTAAAGGGTAGCGTACGCGGAAAAAAAAGAAGCAGAGATTTTAAAACTACGAAAGACTCTCTCTTAAGAGGTTTTTTTACATTACATAAGATAAGATGCATTGAATACAAAGTATAGTTTTACAAAATGTTTTGTGTCGCCTCTGCGCCAAAAAAAAAAAAAACAAACATGCATTTAAAGGAGTGTTTTGATC